CTTGGAAAACTCACTCTAATCATTCAGATAAGAAAAGACCTCCCAAATTTGTTGGTGAGGGCCTCAGACTCAACATTGGAGGCCTACATCAAGTGCCTTGAGGAGGTAGTGCTGCTCTGGGTCAAGAGGATGGCTGCTAGAAGATCCTATGTCTGGCAATAGAACTCAGCACCATGTCACACAAGTAAGAAAACCTAGTCATGGTTATCAGACAATTTCTGCAATCATCTCTTATATCTGGCCACCTAACTCACCAGACTGCAACCACCTTGATTATTATGTGTGGAGTGCAGTTGAGTAAGGGACCACCAAAACTCATTGTAACAACAAAGGATGAACTGAAGGCAAGGATTATGGCAGCATTCACCAACTTAAACAAGGTGACCATCCAGGAGAGTTGCAAGAGATTATGAAGTTATCTGGAGGCTGTGGTTGAAGCCAATGACAATTTTATTGAATAAATTTACTCTCTAGTTTTTCAAAATATTTTTGTGTCATTTTGGTAAATATCTGTTATAATGAGATGTCAGTGTTATTTTCAGTTTTGTGTAATTTAGATGACAATTTATCCACATATACAGACAATAGCACAATTTATGGGAACACCAGCAAAATTGTAGATGACCATAGCCTGACAGCTGATCTCTCCTCTGATTTTTCATGCATAGCTCAATGGGAGAGGAACTGGATTGTAACTTTCAATACTATTGTGATTTTAATGACAAATGTTCAAGCAAACAACATTTTTTGGTCCCACTAATCCAGACCTTCACAGTTAGGACCCACCATACCATCTACACCAAATTCATATTTTATTGGTAAAGAGTATGTTCCACTCAGCTTCTCAAAATTTGTTGTAATACAGAACAGACTCCTGAGAGGATGCTTCTCTTATTGCTACAAACTTAACTTCTTCAAATTAAGGGTCAATCATTTTCTATTCCATATCTCCTCATAATATGCAACTTACAACATCCCCATTTAGTAACCTTGAGTGGCTCTTAGGCTTTGTATTGGGTGAACAATAGTAAAAAGAAAAATTATATCATTTTATTTGGGTGAAAGTTAAAATTCCAGGAGAAAAAGTAAAAATGTTCAAGAACCACATCAAAATTATGTTAAAACTTTTATGCTAAAATACCTGTTATACAAGTTATTTATCAATATTTTCTTCGAATATGTAATGAATATAATTTTAAATTGTTTAAATGTAATATTTCTTTATATAAATACTAACAAAATCCTCTAATTATTTCTTCATTCTAAAAAAGTTGTTAGTAAATGTTCACAAATACTGCAATGAAAACAAGAAAATTTGACAAAAAAAATCAGTAAAAATTAAAAAAAACAGCACATGTAACTGAAACACTGCACAAAACTTTCATATATGGTAATTTTGATGTCACTATTCTGATGGTGTCATCTAGTGTAGTATAAACACCCCTACTGAGGCCACTGATCTAACCTTCATAAATGTCAAATCCAGGTAAAAAAGAAAGGAATGCAAATGTTGATTTACAAGACAAACAAATGTATTCTATTTGGATGATTAATACAAGACAATTTTCTTGTTACTTCTCCCCTCCAGCGTTGGATTACACTAAGCTTATCTTTGTAAATATTGAGCCAGGATTTTTAATACTGATTTAAAAACAGGCAAATCTTCTTTATTTGTTAAACTGACAACACAATCTTTCTACAAAGTTATTCTTATTTGCTTTGTGCCAAATTGAGCTAAACTTAATATCTATAATGATTTTTTTTTTTTTTTTACATTAAAAAATATTTCCTTCTCACTTACAACTCCCATGACAGGATTCTGTCTCACAATGACCAAGATTTTAGTCAAAAGTCAAAGATTTTGAGAATGGTTTATTATTATGAAAGAGAACAATCCTAATGATTAAATTATTTATATTTTATGTTTCAAAAATTAAAACTTTGACAAATACATTTCTAGAAATACAATCAAGCTTCCTAATTTTGGCAAAAGACAAGTAATTTTTCATGAATCACATGTTAAAGTTGATTTTAGTTTTTCAAGAATATGTACAAGAGAGTGTCGAAAAGTCCTTGGCTTGACCCATTTCTCAAAATCTGGCTAAATGACAGAATTATCTTTTCCTTCTTGGATGGATCAGGAAATTTCCAGAACAACTTAATTTAACATTCCTTTGTCTTAAAACTGACCATGAATTTATTAGAAAATTAAGTTATCAAAAACAGTAATGACTTATCTCAAGTCAACATCAAAACTTGCAATTTTAACATAAAAAAATATGAACAGAGTTGCAAATGATGAATATTTACCAACAAGTAAACCAATCTAAAATATAAAAGAGAAAAAGCAGAGTGGGAAGAGAAAAATTATGTGACACAAATCTCCTGAGATGACAGCTTTCCTTTTAAAAAGAGCATTTCTAATACAAGATTGTTTCACATGGTTACAAGCAAACCTTGACTGATGAGAAATGTGCAACAAAACCAGTCACTAAGAAGTCCTTGGAAGGAAAATTAATTTCCAAATTGTACAGTTTATAAATCTGAAAATGACAACACATCACCAGAAAAAGAATGAAACAAATGACAAAAATTGTAAAAGCAATAAAAATAAATGCAATCAAAATTCAAGAGTTTATCAAAGTACATAACCCACAAACATTAACACATTTAAAAAGGACTTTTCAGCCCCAGATTACTATATAAATAACAAATTAAGGTGGAGGAAAAATAAGTATTACTGCTCAAATATCTTATGATCTCTGGCTCCCAAGAAATAACAAATTTCAATCCCTGGTTTGGATCATGCAGAAATGTGCACTAAAATCATGGTTGACCACATTATTAGTAACTGACAGTTATAAGCTTTGAAATTCAACATTCTCAACAGATATTTGGAGAAGGTTAGAAAGTTTAGTATCCAAAGTACTGAGATAAAACTAACAAAATTGGACAAAATAAATCCATGTAAAATAGTAACAAATAGCTACTCAAAATGTCTAAAGATATACAGGGATAATAAAGCAAAGTGATTTTAGAAAAAAGAACTCTTCACTGATAAGGAAAAAAAAGTATGGGAATATGTTATTGTTGGCATACTTCTAATCTAAGCCAAATAATGTTCCACTATACAAAAAATTTTCCCAAAATTTTTAATTAACATACAAACCAAAAGCTAGTTATTGGAGTTGTACAATGTTCTACAACACTGTGGTCTTTAAAGTTGAAATCAGTGTTACTTCAATATTTGAGATTCTAACATTTTTTCCCCAAATACAGACTTAATTTATGGAGAGTGAGATCAATTAATTAAAATACTAAATGAAACTGACCTTAACTTTATATACATTTATGAGTAAAAGCAAGATAAACACAGACAAAGCCATACAAATGCAATACATACTGAATACCACAATTATAAAACAATGTAAGGGATTGATTTGTACTGTAAGAGTTTTTAAAAATAAGTAAATGATTGTCAAACTCTTACTTTACTCAAACAAATTCTTTAAACTAAATTTTATATATCTTATAGCATTCCAAATCAATAAGATATTTGGTATAATTTTATCCTAAACATTTTAATAATTCTCTAAAAGTAGACACCCACACTGTTAAACTCCATGGCATTTTCTTAAAAAATATTATATATTAGTTTTCTGAGTATTTATGCAACAGTCTTTCATACTATAAGTTTGATTAAATAAGATCAACAAGGAATGTTTTTTCTTCTTCTTCATATATAAAAGAATGCATGTCTGGGCCTAAGGAATGCAAATATTTTCCAAACTCAAATATTTGTGATCTAGCACTTTCAACCATGCTTTTGGCCATTATCAAGATCAAGAAAAACATAGTAGTCATTTTTCCATTTCTGAATACATTTTAAACTTGCTCATTGGTGTTTTCACATTGATACATAAACAACAAATTTGTATATGGAACATACAAATACCACTCTATACAGAAGGTCAACTTATTTGTTTGGTAATAGATAATAATTAGAATACCTTGTTATGGTATTCCCACAACTATAGAGCAAATACTTGTAAACTCATATAGTATACAACATTAACCGTTGAAGACAAAAAAAAAGTCAGGAATGCTTCAGATTCTTGAGCTTCTCAAGAAACTATAAAGTAAATGAAATCTAATTTAGTTATGGAACTGGGATTTTAAATATATTTAACAACTGGTAAATACATTTAGCCTAATGAAGAATTCACTTGTATATAACCATGTGTATGAATCATCATAATGCATAAATAGCAAAATGAGGAGTTTAAAAATTATTCAAAAATTTTTAAAAAATTACATCTACAGTCTTCCCTGATCTTGATAATGGTTAGAAGTATGGTTGAAAATGCTAGATCACAACTGTTTAGAAAATAAATACATTTATTTGATAGAAACATTTTTTTTTTTTTTTGTTTTTTAAATCAGTTTCACCTCAAGCAAGGCAGTAAAAGTTAGTAAGACACAAGGGGTTACTGGGTGTGGAAGAATTAGGAACAGAAACATTAATAATGAGCAGAAAGAGGAAAGTTTAATCAGGAGAACAGTAGATAATGATTGACATTGCATTTAAAATTTTGCAGTTTGAAGTTGGCTGGAAAACATGGAGCCTGAAGGGAGTTCCACAAGCAAGAAGTCTGAGAAAAGAAACTGTTGCATAGGACTTACATAGGAGTTACATTTAGACAGCTCAACTGCATACATTTTTGTATGCAAAGAAAAGCTTACTAAAATATCTAAAAACATTTCCTTATTTTCCCGATTTTCTAAGTATATGGAATGGATAATTTCCAAAGATAAATATTACAATTTAAGACTCAGTACACAGCTATGAAAGTCTGGCATCATCTGAGAATGGCCAGATACTCCAATCAAAAACAAATGCCACAAAAAAATTGTAGCAATAAATATTTTGAAGAAGCAAATTTCCCTTAAGCCTCAAGATGTTTTGTTGTAAGCAAGTTTAAAAATTAAATTTTCTTCACCTGGCTTGTCCCTGAATTGCTCAATTGTATTTAAAATATCCTCTTTTGTAGGGGAAAATCTATTCTTTGTCTTCCCTCCGACACGTAAACGCTGCATCATACTTTCTGCTATATCCATTCTACAAGAAAACAAAAAGGAAAACGGAAAAATTAGAAAAATATTTGTGCATTTAAAAAAAAAAAAAAAAAAAAAAAAAAAAGGACAAATTTGAAAGTTATTTTTGTGTATGTGTGTATATATGTATTATATAATGTTTTGTCGAACAGACAAATTGTGGAGATTTTTAAATATTTTCATCTAATCGAAGAATTAATTTCTGTATGTTAGGATTGAAATTATGAAGATACTGTACACAGTTCATGTCATAATTATTTCAAGCTTTTGAGTGACTTCCATCATTAACAAGTCCTGTTATGATTATGTACCAATATTATATATATATATATATATATAAGTAAAAGTACAAAGAAATAAGAGCATAAATAAAGAGGAGACGAAGAAAGAATCAGCACTAAAGATAACAGACACTTTCTTCATTCAGTTAAGTGCCATCATACATGATATGCACTTGGGCAATTATGTTGCTTTTTTATGTTGACTGACTAGGCAGGTTTTCCCACAGTAGATTGCAGTTTCTTTCTGCAGTAGGCTGTTTACCAACCAAGGCTATAGGACCCAGTTTGTCCTGCTATTCAACCCAGTTGGGGGAAAAGAGATGGATTCATGCCTTTCTCCATAAGTGGATGTAACAAAACCACCTGAAATTTGAACTCAGCTCTCAGATTTCTCATTCTGAGCCAATGACCATCACACCACAATGCACACCCTTCCTTAGTTAGAAAAAAAAAGTCCACCTCAGAAATGATCAGGAGGATAACAAAATTTAATTATTTAATATATATATATATATATATATATATATATATATATATATATATATAAAATTTTTAAACATGAAAAATATTTAGATATATTCAACATAGAGGTACAAAGAAATCATAAGGCTTTAATTCTTGATAATGACTGAAATTATTTGATAGCTTAAAATAGATATGAACTGTGTATAGCGCCTTTAAAATTTCACCCAACATATGGAAATTATTTATTTTGTTATCCTTTTCTTTATTGCCCCATATTCACAACATTTCGGCCATTGTATGCCTTGGCCTTCTTCAGGTGATATATGTTGGGATTTTGAACTGAACCCTTTATTTAGCCCATGGGGGTCAGATTGTTCTAGTTTCACATGTGATACCTTTTCTGAATATCTGTTTTCAGTCATTTCCCTTTAATAATTCAAATCACCAAGTTTTTTTGTTCACTTCTGTTGTGGTCTGAGTATGGAACTCCCAAAACATTAGGTCAAGTCACTTTTGGATTACTTCAATGATTTTATCCACTGGGCCATGTGTCTTTGGCGACGTATACCAATATATATCACCTGAAGAAGGATAGAATGTACAACAGCTATAACATTGTGAATATGATAAAGATGAAGATAACAGTTCAAACAATGTAAATAGTTACAATATCTCATCTCAAAAATATAGACAGATATATAATTAATCCATCAATTGGAGAAAAATATTTTGGAAATAGAGAAATTGTCTATTTTGTTTAACTTGTTTAAATGTTAGTCAAATGCATTATATAATTTCTTATTACTATAAATGTTATTCTTAGTTGGTACACATCTTTTGTGTTGACATGCCTTTTATTTTAAACAGTGAAATTAATATCAACTGACCTAGAATTTGATAAGTCCTTACTAAGAAAACATGCCTACTAAAAGGAATCTAACCTGTATTCCTTTTTCCATCAGAGAAGCCACTTCATTATCCAAAGTGTGCCCTACCAATTACGGTCACAGGAGATCATCATGCTCAACCAAGGCCCACTTACCTACTTAAGATGTGTTAGCAATATTTTGTATTTGAAAGGTTTATCTTAACAAACCATAGGTAAAAATTAGATTGAATGCAAACCTCACCTTGTTCTACAGTGCAACTGTATTCCTGGTGACAACAAATCCAAAGTTTATAAGGCATTCTTTAGGGTTTTACCTCTTATATTTACAAAGTAATCAAAAATGATTAAATAAAATTCATTATCTCATATAAACATTGATATTCTATTATAAAAATATTTATTGAACTTAACTACCAAACAAGTCTATTTACATACTTGAATCTAAAATAACACAGGAATAGAAATCCATTAATTCTTTAGAAATTACTTTGATTATGCGTTGGATATGAAACTGAGCAGATATGGGCTTTCAAGAATAACTGAACAAGGAAGTGTACATGTGTGTGTATATTTATATTTTTCTCTACATATAATCAACTTTATCTTGGAATCAAAACTTCAAGTTAGTCTATTCAGAAACTATATGGACAATTATCCAGATCTGTGTTTTCAACTGGTTTAGTTTTTGCTCCAGATTAAATAAAATCTCAGAGCAATATTTCTTTGTTAGCTAAACTGTTGCCTAAAAAATCCATCTTCCCAAATTTAAAACCATCTTTGACAGTAAAATGAAGGTTAAAGGTCTAAATAAACAGGGGTTAGAGCTTTAGCAATTGAAAGCCAATGAGAATGTTCATAAATTTTGTGGTAGGAATGTGTGCACTGATATCAACCAATATGAGGTAAATGCATGTACAAAGTACAGAAAACTCATCAGCTCAACCCATATCACAAACTGATCAAATAACCAAATATCAGATTTTTTAAGAGCTTCTTGGTTGGATCAAGGACTTTCTGCACCCCACCTGCCACAAGAGAATGTGTGTGTGGGCGTGTGTGTGCGTGCACAACTTTCAATATGATATACAAAGACAAATTAAATCTAAAGGGTAAGAAATACCGAAATTAACACAAATGTATATGGGTGACATCTATAATAGAAATTTGCAAGTATGTGATGGTGCGGAATTGGTCTGATAGTTAACATGGAAAAAAGAATCGGCAAACAGAGCTCAACTTCAGGTAGTGGTAGATTGTGTTTCCTTAATGTTAGTTATGATCTTATTTCCTGCAGTGTTCATAGTAATCATTGTTGTTATCTGACATTTCATATTATGACAAATTAGTTGAACAGAACTGTAAAAAGATTTTATGGAATTATCAAAATAAGTTAAAATAATCTGTCTTCAGACATCTGCACAATTTCAACTTTATACAGGACTAAGAAAAAATATCTATATCAAATTTCTTTTCTGTAATACTGATTTTAAACAGACATAAAAATAGAGGTTTGTCAGATTAATCCCAATAATCTTTGTGGCAAACATTTACTAAACACAATCCTTCTTTTTTGTACTCTAAATAAAAAAAAAAAACAAACTTAGATTCAAGCATTAAAATGTGAAGAGAAAAATTTCTGCATTGTATTTAGGTCTATGAACAATACTGAATGACACTCAACATACATACATAACCATGTTTTTTTTGTTGAGGTCAGACCAGCATTAATCTCACACAAAACACAGTGGGTCCTGCCTAAAGGATTTTTCAAATCATTGAAAAATCCTTTTAGTTTTAGAAGGCTAGATGCTCTTCCTGACACCCAACTCAGACATTCACAGTAATTTAACAGTGTTTTTATTGTAACAGCACCTCTTGGAAAGTTGTTATTCAATGTTTGAGACCCCTCCTAGTATCACATATATATATATATATATATATATATATATATATATATATATATGTGTGTGTGTGTGTGTGTGTGTGTGTGTGTGTGTGTGTGTGGCACTCATAAGAAGCTCATCCATTCTTTGAGAGATCTTGTTTTTGCTCCTAGTGGGGTGGGGTGACATGCCAATCTCCTCACTCACAGAAAATATAGTGGAGGAACTGGTTTAGATTCCAATCACCTATCCAGGCAGCAGATTGTACTGGGTTACATGTTACCAGTATCAGGCCTAAGCCTGATCTAACAAGAAGTAGGAAACATAATATATCCTCAGGGAAGACAAAAGCCTTATGAAAAAAAAATAACAGAAGTACTTTTTGTTTAATTTAAGTTCTCTGTGTTATTATCTACAATATTTTCAAAATTTTTTTTAGTTTTAAATTACAATTTCTTAGTATGTCAGATGAATGTAAAAAGAGTCACATCTTGCCCAAAAGTGATCTGAAACTGTGAGAGTAATAGAGATTCAACATCCAAAAAGATTTCATATACTTCAATAACTACATAGAAAGTAACTCTGACTGTAATATTTAACTCCTTCCTCACCAATTATTTTGGGAAAAACATTTCATTTTCACACAAATTTTTTTTATTTATTTTTAATATAGTAACTAAGAAACACGTTGAAGTACCCAAGCAGTAGCTAATACTTTTACCAGACATATAAATTGACAATTTGACTAGTTTCTAGCTCAGAAGAGCATAAAAAGAACCAAGATCAACATATAAACATGTCTGTAGCTGGTTTTTGAACATTATATTTTGGACATATTTATTCATCTGTCTCTGAAAATGATACTTTCAGTAAAAATGTATATACATGTCTACACCAGGGAAGGAGTAAATAGAAGTTTTTGTAAAATATTAAACAAATTTTGTATTGTCAATAATTCCGAGAAGTCATTTATATAATCCAACATAATAGCAACTACAATGAGATATATCTAAGCATCCACTGTCGAATAAATTCTGTAACCTTTTTTTAAAAAGGTTACATTTTTTTTTTTTTTTTTTAAAAACAAAAAATTATCCTAATACCAAGTCTATTAAATTCAAGAATAAATTAAAATTAAAATTTTCATTAAATTTTAATTTATAGCCATTTTTAATTTATTGATTGATTCATTTTTTATATATTAACCCTTGGGAGGTTATTTAAAGCCAGAAAATATTTTTAGATTGTAAGAATTTTTTATGAGATAATAATGATTTAGAGATTCAAGTCTTATGAACTCAACTCAAACTGGAATTCAGTTCACCAATTAACAATTCCAAGCCATTATGCATCATATTACCTGTGCATCCAAGCTTACAGCACCTAGTATTCCCAAGCAGTCACCCATCTGGATACTAACCAGGCTCAACATTGCTTAACCAGTGATTGTACAGGAACCAGTTTTTC